GAGAGAGAGAGCCCTTTCGAGCTAGTATGAGCTGGCTGGCTCGGGGTTGATTTATTTTTCCTGGTTTGTAATATAATTTATCAAGTAAGTACTTACTGAGTAAATTGGGCGATGTGTATTGGGACTGCCCTGTATTAGTGAAAGTGCCACGGAGTTACGTGAGTTACGATTGGTTAATGAGTGCCGCAATGCGGCGGTGGCACTTTGCTAGGATTGACTGTTTTGTTTCTTTCAGCTCTGTTTTAAGTATTATTCTGAAATCGGGTGTAGTCAGAACATAATGATTGATTTTCATCTTTTGCAATCAGATTACTGCGACAGTTTAAACCCTGTACATTCAAGGCCATTGATCAGCTCATGTCGGTGAACCTAAGAGGTCGCAACCGTCACTTTAACTGCGTGCCCATTCTGATTCTTTCTTGACTTGTGTTCATTTGACATTTTTGCTGCCCTTCAGGCGAAGCTGTGGTATTTTCCTTTGTGATATCTGTACAATTTATATTTCTATACTTATGTTACAATATACTTTATGTTATTGAAAAACCAGCTGGATTGTTCTGCTTTCTGTGTACTCTGCTTGATTACTTGTACTGCCTAATGCCTATGCCAGCTAACCCTCTTGGTTCCTCACTTGAGATCCCCTTTCACATTGTGGAGGCATTGGAACACCACGCGACAAACAGTCGATTGTGAGCTCCGGCCGTCTTCGAAGAGGTAGACCGGCTCAAATGATTGATGTGCCTGGGTTCCCATCAGAAGCATTTATATTTACAGGGCTTAGGAGAAACGAGGTTTCTTTAACTGCAAAAGTTTTTGGCTGCTGTTGGTAATGGTTGCACTGCAAACATTTTAAAGGAAGTGGAAGGACAATGTGCATGGATAGGAATATGTGTTACAGAGGATGGCATCAGTGACTTCTAGGTGGTGGGAAATACAAAATGAGTACAGTCTTCGTGAGGCAAGGGATTCAAGGAAGGGAAAGGAGATTATGGGAGTGACTGTGAAGCAGCATCTGAACCACATGGAACTGCTACTCTGTTCAGGTGTACCCTTTCAGCTGTAGTGAAGTCACTTTCCAGGAAATGTTTGCAGCACAAATATTTATTGTGCAGCATTCTAGCAGAATCAACAGTGAAGGATATTCCAATCTTTCCTGCCCATGACGCAGCCCTGTAAAAGTAGAACAAATAGTCTCAAAACCTAGAAATAATTCTTCAGTAAACATTACAAACTTGTTACATATTCTAAAATTTTGGGTTCTGTTGAATAAATTGAACGCAGACAATCACTAATCTTAATTTATTCATTGGATTAAGCAACACGTAGTATTTACACTATGAATTAAAACAGACATACCGTGCTGGATCCCTTGGAAAGCTGAAGAATTTGATGTCTTGCTTGCTGGATGACAAGCACCCAGCAGCAGCACAGGTTTTCGTTTTCATGTCTATACTGCAAGAAGCAATACAAAAATTATAACACTATCACGGTACTCTTAGAACTCCACATCCTTTCCATTGCAATATTTAAAATAAACTTTCATTGAACGAAAGAGAACAGTTAATTGGCCTCTCAAATGACACCGGAGTTCAAATGAAATTCAAAGCAGAAGGTGTGGTTAATTTCTGGACCTCATCACCAGTGAAAAGAGAATATAGTGAACTGTACAATGCTGCTTCAAAGATTAGAATTCAGTTTGCTTCTACGTATCTGTGTGAGAAAGGGTTTTCATCACTAACTCAAATAAAAACAAAGTACCGAAATCGACTCGATGTATGTGACGATCTCCGACTTAAGTTAACTAACATACATCCAAATATAGAACTGTTTAAGAATCGGCAGGTTCACCCATCTCATTAATGTGAGTACCAACATTTATTTTTTTAGCTAATAAGTTAAAGATTATCCAAATTCTAATAGCCTTGGATTATTAAAAAACGAATATGAATTTTCTTCTATTAACTTAGTTACTTAATACTAATATAAAATTAATTTTAATTAATTCTATTTTAAAATATAAGTATACTGGTATTAAAATATGCTAAAAGAATGATAAATTTGCTTTCGAAGAGAACAAGAGTAAGGTGGTCCGCAGAAGGGTTCTGACTTATAAAAGTGGTCCCCACTTCAGAAAAGTCTGAGAAACGCTGGCCTACATTGATCCACCACAACCGCATATAATTGCGGGAATTCAGATTGGTTTGTTTAGGCTCTCTGATTGGTCGAGATAGGCGTGCACTATCTGCCTTCGCTCTTAGAGGCAGTAGTTACCGTGTTTCCCTATCTCCTATCTCAGTTGCATCGCCCTGGTCAAGACCAACTTACAAGTATGAGCAGTACGAGTACCCACTCTGTCGGCCGACAGGGCCGACAGTGTGGCATACAACTAACTGGTGTCAGGTGTGTGGGACACGACACGAATAGTAGTGTTCAGCAGTATCAGCATCTCCGTGGAACGTGTGGTGGAGAACTGATTTAGTGACAGCAGCTGTGGTGGCACGGATCGCAACTAAACCAGCAGCGGTCACTGGCACGTAAGCATCCTTGCAGTAAGGACATTGTGTGGAATTTTGTAAGAGTAAGTGTGGTTGTTCTTGAGTAGTGAAAATATTTTTTTTGTAGTAGTATTAACAAATTTAAATAAGAAAGTCGATTTATTTTTGTAGTGTGTATGTCAAAGTATTATGTAATTGCTCGTTTTAAAATGCAGCTATCAGCTTTGCAGTAATATACCGTATAGAGAATAATACAAGCCTTCCTGATTTAAGCACAGGTTATATATTGAGAAGTCACGATTGAAACAAGATTGTGTTCTGTCATCTATTAAGACAACTTCCATGTAGATAGTATATCTTAAAATCTGTGCCATTGCAGCCTAATATACTTGTGATAAATACAGGTACCATAAATGACATTTGGAACAATTTGTCACAGGATTTATTAGTTCATATGTACAGGGGTTGAACAAAATAATGCGAAACACTACAGATGCTGCACACATTTCTTGATGAATATGGTGTTTGACCATCTTTTGCCTTCACTACAGCTGCAGTCCGTCTTGGAATGGACTCATACAAGTTTTCTAGCTCTAGGGGAATTTTTTACCATTCTTCTTGAAGAACATCTTCCAAGTTATGTAAGATTTGAGGTTTTCACGGTGGTGACTATGAAGAATGCCGTCTTTTGGGATGTGGTGCCGTGTAGAAATTGTGTTAACTGACCGTTGCACCTGCTCTGCTGGTTCACTTGCAGATTTCTTCTTTTCTTCTACCCTGAAGATGGAGGTGATACTTTCATCCGAAACAGCGGTTAACACAATTTCTACATGGCGCTACATCGCAGAAGACGGCTATCTTCATCGCCCAAGTTACTTTAGAGGTGTTTGAGGTGGGAGTCTGCGCCTCAGTCTAGTGTCCAAAACTGACCAGAGTGGTTCAGTGATTTTCAAATCTCGTGATTGTGCTGGCCAGGGAAGATGTTAAAGTTCACCTCCATGCACTTCAAACCATGACTAAAAAATTCCAGCTGTGTGAATAATGTCATTGTCGTGGCGAACGGTGTTTACAAATAACTTCTGGATCATGGGATGCACCTGACTACCCAACCTGTCCATGTACTTCTTTGCACTAATTTGGCCATGAAGGGTAATAATGTGACCAACAGAATACAATGATATTGCTGCCAAAACCATCTCAGAACCTCCCCCATGTTTCACAGTTTGAACCAGGCATTCTGGATTGTAGACTTCCTTGAATGTTCACCAAACTTAAACTCGTCCTGATGTAGGGATCAGCTTGAAGGATGACATATATGTGCATATCACACATGGGTTTCCAGTTGTCTGATATCCAGGTTTTAATGGCCATGACATCATCATTTACACATTTGGGCATTCATTCATTCGTTTATTGTATATTCCATAAATCCATATAACTAGATATAGAACCAGTCACATAGTTAATGTAGTACAATACAAATATAAATATATATGTACAGTTTATAATCATAATAGATATANATCGACAATATATTGAGCTTGTAGTGGGAGGATATCCAATTCTTGAAACAAACTACGACACGATGTTCTCTTTGTTGTATTTGTCATAATCCTAATTATCCTTTTGTGCATCCTAAACACTTTTATACTATGCGGGGAGTTACCCCAGAATATTAATCCTTACGTTATTATAGAATGTACATAGGAAAAATACATAATTTTTAATGTCTCCAGTAGTAAAAAGGATTTAACTGATCGGATTGCAAAGCAGGATCTGTTTAACTTATCAATTACTGCATCAATATGACTTTCCCACGTTAAAAAATTTTCAATTTTTAATCCCAGAAACGATATATTAGAAATACTTGGAATATAATTTTTTAAATAACTAACGTGAACGTTTAAGTTTTTACTGTTTTTAGTTCTAAACTGTAGAAAACAAGTTTTTTCATAATTTATTACTGGCTCATTTTTCCTAAACCATTCATTTATCATCTCAAGTAATTTATTTATTCTGATTTTGAATTCCACAGGATTCTTATCAAAGATAAGGATACTTGTATCATCTGCTAATAATTACTTTCAGTAATGCAGTGTAGCAGTTCTAGCCCTACCATGATGTTGCATTTGTGAAGCTCACGTTGGACAGTTTTTGTGGTAACAGGGTCTTCCAGATGAATATTAGTTCTGTTGCAGTTTACCTGTGCTGCAGTAGTTCCACGATTTTTCAAAACAATCCTCAGTTTATGACAATATCTTTCTCTCAGTCTTGACTTTTTCCCACTCTTCCGCTTTGCTGACACCATTCCATGATTTGTGTATGTTGATATAACTTTAGAAACTGTTGCTCTTGATACACCCAGTAATGTGGCAGTTTTTGCCACAGATGCCCTAGCTAAATGCACACCAACAATCTGCATTCTTTAAAAATTGGAAAAGTCTCCAATTTTGTTTTTCTTTCACACAGACTCACATACTGCTATCACTAATGCACTGACTTGAGCACTGCAATGAGTAAAATCCAAGACAAACATTCACTGTTGCCAGCTGAAGTTCTTTTAATGTAGCCAACACAAAAAAATACTGTTCCTTAATTTTGTAATGTTTCCACCCTTCTGTACATTTGACAGTGTATGCTGTGCACAGATTTTAACTTAAGGTACTTGAGGTTACAAATTTATTGCTTTCTAGAAGAACAAGGATTTTACTTATAAACCGACATTTATGATTAAAGTTACAAATTTATTGCATTGTAGAAGAATGAGTATTTTACTTAGAAACCGCCATTTATCCTATTAGAAGAATGGTTGAAGATTTTTATATTTATTTTGTTAGAAGCAAAGGATGAGACTAAGTCACTTTCATTCACAGAGTAACCCAAATAGTGTCACCACACACAGTGAATTTATTGGTATTTTGTTGCAGCATTTCATTATGATTATTTGAAATAAATGTTGAATTCTAATATATCTAATGTGGGTGTGTGACAGCTTTGCCCCACAAGAAAGAAAAAAAAAACAAAAAAACTCTCTGGTCCGTAGTCCACAAGCGAACTATACCGACCTAGTGACAGCCACTTGTCGGCGAAGTTAGTGCCAACTCTTAACAGATAGAGGAAGTTGCGTGGTCAGTGCAAATGATTCCCATGGCCATTAATCTCGTATTTTTTAAGACTGGAGCCACTATTTCCTTGAAATAGCTCCCCAGTTATTATCATGAGGCTGAGTGGACCCCGTTCCAGACCTACTGCTTGTCAGAAAATCTGCTAGCACCTGGAATCGAACCTGGGACCTCTGGATCTGTAGCCAGGAACAGTGACTACTAGACCATAGAGGCGGTTGATAGCTTTGCCCCACGCAGCACAAAAATAGAGATTAGAACAGTTTGAAATTTTGGTAGCTGTAAATGTAATAATTTATGGAATCAGTCAATTTAAGTTGCATATATTATCCAAAACACTTGATGGAGGTAAATAATTGATAATTTGCATCGTAGACCTTGGAAAATGTATCATCACCAGTGACAGCTTCTTATACAGTGACATCTGAGTATTATCAGGAAGATCTAGGAGGAAACTCTAAGGTATAAGTGTTCAGTTTGATGAAATGTTCTGTGAACAGGATGGGACTCAACCACATAAAACAAATGCACATTTTTTGCCCTCAGTGAACATTTTGGCCATTGTTGTGTCTCATTTCACTTCTGTGGATGTTTTGGCTATGATTGATCTTGGTCACTATCTTGTGGGGAACATCTAAAAGATAATGTATACAGGAACAACTTCCACACAGTCGATGAAATGAAAGAAATTTTTGTTGTCATCCGAATTCCTGCAGGCGTTCTGAGCCGAGTAGTTTCAAACTTTTAACATTGATTATAAATGTTCTTGGATGCCAGTGTGGCCCACTTATATAACATATTTATCATTAACAGATTATTATGCCAAGTAACACTGAAATAATTCCTGTACATCAGATATTTAAAAAAATATATGCAGTTTAAATAGGGGCACACAGTAGCGTGGTTTGGTTGAGGCACTATGCTACTAGGCGGAAGGTCACAGATTCAAGTCCCAATGAGGTCATTGGATTTTTTTCAAATGACCTAATCCTTCCGGCCGCACTATGGCCCTGGGGTTGACTCAGCCTCTAGCAGAAATGAGTACCAGCAATTAATTAAATAATTTTCCTGGGGAGTAAAGCGCGGCCGGCCCGTAAGACTGACAACCTTACTGCCATCTTTGAGCCAATTGTCTAGATAATGTGGGACCCTCAGCATCTCAAAACCCCTTGGCCCTTCACGCCCTGTTACAGGGATAGCTTTACTTTACTTTTTTATATGCAGTTTAAATTGTGTTTTGTGGGTGACTCTGTAAATAACCTTTCTACTGTTCCAGTCACAAAGAATGCAATAGTTTGAAGTGATTCTCATTATCAGCTACTTTATTTAAATGTGTATTGTCAGCTTCTCTTTCTTTCCTATGACTTTAGATATTTGTAATGTCTTGTAGCAAAGATGATAAGTACATTTTACACAGAAAGCTAACTTTAAGCGTACATGGTGTGTCCAGGATCCTTTATGACTTATTTTTTTAAATTTTTCCCTGCAGTGCCATCTGTTGGTGAATTTTGGCTTTAAGACTCTTGAAGTTTGAGCTGTGGTTGACTATAATTTCAAAGCGCAAGCATTGCTGCATCATGTGTTCTGACCTTGAATGTAACAGTACTGTTCTGACGCTCGTTGGAAAATGGCGGTTCAGCAGAGAGCCAACATCAAATTTTGTTTGAAGTTAGGCAAAACAGCAGGAGAAGCATACAAAATGATGAAAAGTGTGTATGGTAGTGATTGTTTGAGTCGCTCGAAGATTTTTCGATGGTATGCTATATTTCGTGACGGCAGGGAGGACATGGAAGATGCTCCATGTGCATCAGAGCTGAGAACAAGTCGCACTAAAGAAAATGTGAAAAAAGTGACCGAAATCCTTGCATCAGACAGATGTGTTCTGCAAGTCTCATCGAGGAGCTTTTGAGAATACCAAAAAGTACTCTGCATCAAATTTTGACCGAGAATTTTGGCAAATGGAAGGTCTTTGCGCAGTTTGTACCGCACGCGCTGTCAGACGATGAAAAACATGCCAGAGTGGGACACTGGAAAGACAATGTTACGGTCGGCCCAAAGTGATAACAAAATTTACAAACTCGATTGTTACTGGTAACAAAATTTACAAACTCGATTGTTACTGGTGACGAGACATGGTGTTTTCAATATGAGCCTCTCACAAAGCAGCAGAGTGCAGCGTGGTTGAGCCCAAAGAAGCCAGCCAAAACCAAAGAAAGTGCGCGTGCAAAAGAGTCGAGTAAAGACACTGCTAACCGTTTTCTTCGATTCGAAAGGTATAATTCACAAGGTATTTCTGCCAGAAGGTCAAACAGTGAATTCTGATTATTATCTTAGCGTCCTCAATCGTTTATGGGCGAGAATTCTTTGAATTCGACCTGAATATCGAGAACAAGGTTCCAGGTTGCTCCTCCACAACAATGCCCCACCCCAGAAATTAAAGATTGTGCACAATTTTTTGGCCAGAAAAGGGATCACAGTCCTTGATCATCCTCTGTATTTGCCAGATTTGGCTCCAGCAGATTTCTGGTGGTGGTTCCCGAAAGTTAAGTTGGCGATGAAAGGAGACCATCACAACACCATCCAGGACATCCAAAGGGAATCTACTGCAGTTTTAAAATGCGATTCCACAAAAGGAGTACAGAGACTGTTTTTGAAAACTTTTCAATCTGTTCCAGCTATGTATTGGTTCAGAAGGAGACTATTTTGAATAAGAAGGGTGAAATTTTGAAAATAATTCACATCTTGTATTTTTAATGAACACAGTCCTAACAGAACCTGGACACACTATGTACATTGCCATGTGCATGCGTATTATTGCCCTGGTATTATGGCTCATCACTTTTTTAATACAAACTCCTGCCGCTGTAGGTAGGGTCATATGGCAGGTAAACTTGATCGGATGAGGTTAGATTAGTTCCAGTATGGTACAGCCATTGTATGGCAGAGGTTTTGTTATAGTTTTTGTATGGTGCACTGCCAGCAACACTCTGGCAGACTTGCTACTATGTTGGCAGTCCAGGCCACTGACATTTCAGAGGAACATCGGAGCTGTCGCTGATGACAAAATGTGCTTGAAAATTCTTTTCCTCAATTGTTACATGATTGTGTATATAACTTAGCATATATTCCACATAACATTGAAAATGTACATAGCTCAACATCAGTTTTTTTCAAATGATGTGCAATTGCCATTTGAATTCCCATTGGGATTGGCTGTTACAAAAGTATAACATGACTGACTTCATAATTATATTTAAGTAGGCATGCTTTATTCATCTTGAATATCACAGATTTGGCACTAAAGATGTTGTCACTCCAAGCATTTGTGTAACTCAGATTATGATGTCAATGTGTTGCAGCACAACATGGATGCAATAAAAGCAGAGCCTGATTCGGAAGACGAAACACATCCATCTGAGATCAACACTCAGCAGGTTGATGCAAAACAAGATCCTTCAGAGCCTTTCACCTTTGTTGAAGTCAAGTGTGAAATAGAGGTGGGCTGATTTTCAGAAGCTTAGCACAGAATTAAAGTTTGTTTTTGTATTTCTGTTACAAACTTTATGTTTTGCCAGATAATTAATTAATCTTTAATAAATATATACTGTGGCCCTGATGGCCAGATTTTGACTTGGGGTTAATGGTATTCTTATAGGAAAGAATGTAATGCTTGGCCTGTTGGACCCAGTCATGCCCTGTAACATTTGTGTAATGCACAGACTATAAAGGTTAAACTTGCTATGAAATAGTGCCAGCCATCAGGATAATTAATAATGGTATGAAGCTTTTGTCATCCGCTTCCAAATTACTTAGAACTTTTACGCACAGATTAATCCTTCCAGATTGGTGTTTTTTCTGTTTGTAGAGAATGTATTATTTGAGCAATATTACCAGTTCACAAGAGGATTTGGTTAAAGGTGTGCTCTGCAATTTGTGTCATCTTTCACAGATGTCAGAAACTTACTGGTGAGGAATTAGCACAAATACGAAGATGAGTCAAATGAAAACCATATTTTTTTTAATTTAATTTATTAAATGAAAGCGGTACACAACAAATCATTTTTCTACGTAGTCTCCATTTCGTTCAATACAGGACCTCCAGCGTTTACAAAGTGTTTGGATTTCTCTGGAAAAAAATTCTTGTGGTTGTCTGTGCAACCACTTATGCACTGCCTGCTGTACCTCTTCATCAGAACAGAACTGCTTTCCTCCCGTCGTCTCTTTGAGTGGCCCAAATGTGGTAATCACTTGGGGCTAGGTCTGGTGAGTATGGTGGATGTGGAAGACACTTAAAGTGCAAGTCTTAGATTGTTGCAGCTGCTGCACGGGCAGTATGGGGCTGAGGATTGTCATGTTGCAAAAGGACACCTCTGGTCAAAAGTCCACGTTGCTTTGATCTGACTGCAGGTCAAAGATGATTCTTCAAGAGATGTGTATATGAGGCACTGGTGATAGTGTTCCCCTGAGGCATGTAGTACTCCAAGAGTACGCCTCATTCATCCCAAAAGAAAGTCAGCATAATCTTCCCTGCAGATCGCTGCGTCCAGAACTTCTTGGGTTTTGGTGATGAGGAATGAACCCATTCCCTGCTTGTTCTCTTTGTTTCTGGTTGGTGGTAGTGCACCCAAGTATCATCGCCAGTAATGATTCTCAAAAGCAAGCCATCACCTTCTGCTTCATGGCGCTGCAGAAGTTCTTCACAGGCGTCAACACGTCATAATTTCAATTCTGGAGTCAGCTGCCGTGGCACCCACCTAGCAGACACTTTGTGAAACTGGAGCACATCATGAATGACATGGTGTGCTGATCCATGACTCATGTTAAGAATTTTGACTATTTCATCCACCGACACTCAGCGATTCTCCATCACTAGGGCTTCAACCGCTGCAATAGACTCAGGGGTCACAATTCTGTGTGCCTGAACTGGGCGAGGAGCATCTGCCACAGATGTCACACCATTTCTGAATTTCCTACTCCACTCGTACACTTGTGGTTGTGACAAGCATGCATCACCATACTGAATCTTCATCCGTCGATGAACTTGAATCGGTTTCACACCTTCAATGACCAAAAAACGAATTACAGAACGTTCTTCTTTCATGCATGTACGTAGTGGAGCAGCCATCTTCACACCAGCACTGTGATGGCGTCCTGTTTGTCTGCATTATACTGCCACCTGTAGGATACTTTTTATAGCATTGGTAACATGTCTGCCAACTTAGAGGACAATGGCGCGATATTTTGAATTTTTATCTCAGTTTTATGGTTTTCATTAGTCTCACCTGCATACAAATTTTATTCACTAAATTGTTCAGGCTTCTCAGGAACATTTAAAGATTCTTAGACCAAATTTCATTCAGTGACATAGAACACAGATCTGTTCATCTGTAACCGGCTTCTCTTTCAAGGCTTCTAGCCCACAAGTTGGGCTCCACCTCTTCACTCTGTAACCGTTTTTACCTCACGTTCACTTCCCTCCTCGTTGGTTGGTTAGTCACGCGTTGTTTGTCACTCCTCTCCTTCTTTCTTCTTTCTTTCTTTCTTCTTCTTCTTCTTCTTCTTCTTCTTCTTCTTAGGTTGGGCACCAGTAAGCTCAGGTGGTGTCAGCTTCGGAGGTTTATTTTGGAAAGGGCGTAAAGGTGGTAGTCAACTAGTTCAGCTGTGGGTAGAGCTGAGATCCTTCTCAGAGCGTTTCTAGGGCCTCCCTTAGGACACTGTTACCATTTATTGAGATCAGCACTTCCCTTCACCTGATGGCACACACACGCGCACACACAGTCAGTACAAAGGATGCTTATATATAGGTCTGTGGGAACTGCCCACATTCAAGCAAGTGTGAAAACGCAAGCGTCATTGCTTAGCAACGACGAGTAAACAACGGTTGCTAGGCAGAAGCAAGTAAACAGCGGTTGCTAGGGAACTTATAAACACGGTAACCGGCAATAGCAGTACCTATTATGTAACCGTTTTCTATATGTCCGATTCTAGGCTACATAAGAAGATACACTGAGTTATCGCACACGCGGCTGTTATGTTTCAACTGACTGTGAATAGCCTTNCCCCCCCGCGGAGATGGTTGCTCAGCTGTTGAAGCGATCAGGAAAACGTACATCACGTCGGGGTCACCAATGTGGAATGTCATATGAAGAGACAACCACTAGTTGAACTGTCCTATAGGATTTATTGCAGCTGCACAGTGTACACAGATGGATAACAACAGTAGTGAACTGCTTGAACAGTGCGGACGCTGTGGGGCTGGGTAGCGGTCAGGGATTGTCCGGGCATTTAATGCTCTATAGTCGCCGCAAGGACGCCAACCGTTGTCTTTCTCGGGCACAAAACCGTACTCCGCCCTGCACCTACAGCCAGCAGGGAAACTGACGCAGCAGACATCATCGGCGGTACATGTCTGCGGTACAACAGGCCACCTCTTCATAACAGACAGAGTCAGCAAACGGCGGTTCCTAGTCGACACGGGTTCGGACCTCTGTGTATATCCCCGCAGGCTCGTCCATCGATGCATGGAACGTACCTCCTATGACCTGTGTGCGGCTAATGGCACTACCATCCACACCTACGGATGCCTGCCTCTCAGCCTCAACTTGGGCCTACGCCGAGAATTCACGTGGCGCTTCGTGGTGGCCGACGTCCCGCATCCCATCATCGGCATGGACTTCCTGTCGCATTTCGGTCTTCTGGTGGACTGTCGGAACAACCGCATCCTGGACGGGGTCACGACGCTGTCAGCCCCGGCATCAGCGGCCAACGCACTGATCCCCAGTGTAAAGACAATCAGCAGCAACACGCCGATCGACAGCCTCCTCACAGAG